GGCCCGTTTCCAGCCTGAGCGGCGTCGCGGTCGGCTTCGGCGTCGGCGTCGCCGTCGGCGTCGGCGTAACGGGGGGGAGAGGGGTCACATGACTCCCCCCCCGAGGTCACGTGACCCCCCGCCCCCCGGGGTCACGTGACTACCCGCAGGTGACGTGACCCCCCTCAGTACCCTTCCCTACTCCTCTTCAAGAGCTGCGCTCCAATTCAGCGTTGCAGGGATTTGTAAACGGCTTTCATTTTTCTTGGGCTCCTTAGAGGTTTTGAGCCCAGCCAGAGTGGGCTCCGCGGAGCGGGAGCTCTAGCCCCCTTCCCGGCCGCGTATAGTTCCTTCCTGACTTAGTAAAACCGCGGGGCGTATCCGTGGAGCCTGATTGTTTTTTTAGGCACATTACAAGATCGCACCCCGCCGGCAGATGAACGCGCGCCAGTGTTTCATGCACACACAGAAGCCGCCTGCCAGATAAAGGTGCCTCCTCGAGGGAATTGCTTTCAGGCTGGGCTGCTTGCTTGGCTGCGTACTGTCCTATCAAGAACCGACAGCATTAACTTAGCGTTAAGCTTGTAAACGCCGATCACTGTAACGCGGGCCCGACGGATCTAGAGCCCATGCACGCGGTTCGCGGGTTTGTACGCGTCGCCAAAACCAGCCTGCTTTTGTTTACCAACCAATATCTAGAGTCAGCCGCGTTCATCGTGTCGCCCCATAATGTGCCCACGCAGACTGTCACCGCAAAACGGGGGACGGGGGGGAGTGCGTACTTCAGTAATACTGCTCGCCGTCCCCCACTGGACCTCCGAAAAGATCGACTCCGCCGCATTACTTGGTCAGGGCCGTCTTTTTATCTGAAACAACAAAGAGCGAGCTCCAAAGAGTCATATGCGTCTCGTGCTTGCAAAGATGCGGGACGTTCGAATAGGCCAATCAGGGCCCTGGATTTTCTCCGTGGCTTTACTTCGTAAGTAAGTTGCAATACGCCTCCAGGAGCGGCTAGTGAACGAGCACATTGGGTCGCAGCGCAGCGATGCGGGTTCGCTAGGCGGCGGCTAACGAGGCCTTTGTGGGCCGCCGCGGTTGGGCGCCCGGGAGAAGTCGTGTGCCTGGTCTGGCCCTAGGGTATTCTTGAACCCACTCAGCCCTTCGATTGGTAGAGCCAGGGGTGTCTTCGAGTGTCGGGCAGTGCATTATGTACTACAATACCACTGTGACATGCAGCAATGATGCAATGCAGTATTCATCTAATTGTTTTCTAGCAAAGTGTTTGATTTTTTTAATCTTCATGCACCGCAAGAGTAATGCACATTGTCCGCGGCTTTTGTCACCTGCAGCTTTTTGTTCTTGTGTGTAACCTCGGACTTTTCGTATGCGCTTGTTTTGCTGTCCAAATAAATATTTCCAACCATCTGTTCTAAAACTCGGTGACAGTAACCGGCTTAATCTTGCTATGCAACAAGATTTATAACAGGGTTTTATATGGAAATGCAGACAGTTTTCGGTTAATTTTGGACTTTTAAAATGCTCAATCTGTAACGGTCTTGCTCGAGACATTTTTGCTTTTGATATTTTTTATCTATCAACATGTATCAGATCATCAAAAATGTTTAAGTAGCGACACAGGAAAAGTGGGGCATGCTTAATTTTGGAGAGAGAGAGAGAGAGAGAGCAAACTTTATTGTGGGAATGGAGCTTTCCATATCCCAGCCCTAGTCCGGGCCTATGCGGTCGGGGCAGTCTCCGTCCCATCCAGCACATTGCGAATGTGGTGGACAAGCGGGGGCCACCACAGCCTTCGAAGTTCTGAAGGGGGAGAAGTCCATTCCTCCCAGCTGCTTGGCGTACGTTCAGGGGGTAGGTGAGAGAGAAATTGCTGTCGGCTTTGGTGGGATCCAATGCATTCCCAGAGTGTATGCTGGTTGGATGGGTATCCTCCGCAGTGAGGGCAGGAGGGGTAGCCTGGCATTTTGTGTATGTAGTGGACATAGTTTTGGGTGAGGATGGAATTTGTCTGTGCTCTACGAATAAGGGTTGCTTCTTCTCTTGTGTGAGTTCGTGAGGGTGATGGGAGGAGAGTGGAGGCCTTGCGTCTTTCCTTTAGAATTTGTTGCCTGACTTTGTGAAGTATTTTTCTTTCTTGTTTGGGGTCGTATTCCTGATCACAGGGCCAGGCGAGAGGGCTATCCGGATTTGGTTCGCGGGTAAGCTGATGTGCTTGCATGTTTCCTCTTGATGCCTGGTGTCCTGGGACCCACTGAATTCTAATTTGGAGTAGTGGGTACTTGTGCATGTGATGTTGCAGCTGGTTCTGTATTGACGTGGGGAGTCTATTCTTTAGAAAAGCCCTGCATGCGTCTTGGCTGTCTGTTCTTATGATAATTTTATCGTTGTTTTTGGTGAATTCGGTGATGGCAGTTGATATGGCTAGTAGTTCGGCGAGCCTTGGGGATGGGATGTCTTGATATCTTCGCGTTAAGGTTTCCTCGATGTTCCATACAGCTATAAGGCCATGTCCTGTGTTGTAGCTTGCATCTGTATAGTATGTCTTGGTGCTAGTGTCTTCTTCGTCCTTCTTCTCTAGGCGCTGGACTCTGTCGTTTCTTCTGTCTGCATTGAGTTTTGTATGCATATTCTTGGGGATTGGGTCTACATGGATTCTAGGTATTTGTTCCCATGGGGGAGTTTCCAGTGGGATAGGAGGTAGGTTTGTTGTTTCATAGTTTAGTTTTGTAAGTATTTTTCTGCCTTGAAGCAATGTTTCTAGTCTTTGTTTTTGTCCTAGTTTGTGGATATCAACTCTGTCGTCTAATGAATTGAAGAGCCCCGCATCTTTTATTTTGTAGGTGGCTGTAAAACGGGGGACGCCCAATGCTAGCTTAGAGGCTTTGCGCAGAGTTGTTTCGAGTTTTTTCTGTTGTGTTTTGGTGAGGCTGATATATGGTAAGTGGTACATGACTCTACAGTATATTAGTGCTTCTATGACTTTCCTTAATTCATGCTCTTTCATACCTCGCTTCTGTCTTGTGATCCTGCGAATCATGCCAAGAATTTGTTCTATTTGTGCTATGAGTTTATTTAAGGTGATGTTATGTTTACCGTCTTCTTGTAGATAGTATCGTAGCACTTTTATGTGTTTTTTTCTTGGCAATGTTTCGTTTTTTATTGTTAAGATTATCATTTCTCTATATTCTGAGGTTCTAATTGCGGGGGATCGAATTATTACTACATATTCAGATTTCTCTGCAGAGCATGTAAGTCCGATGGAGGCCGCGTACTTTTGCACTGTGTCTATACCCCTTTGCATCGCTTCTTCTTGTTCTCCTGCAGATCCTTTAGTCGTCCAGAGGGTAATGTCGTCTGCGTATATGCTATGTTCGAGGTCATCTATGACGTTAAGCTGTTTCGGTAGGTTTTTCGTTGCTATGTTGAAGAGAGATGGTGATAGAATGGATCCCTGGGGTGTCCCTCTGTCTATCGGGTGGCTGTCTGAGGTGTAGTCGTCCAGTCTTATTTTAACTGTTCGGTCAGAGACAAAATTTTTCACGTAGTTGTACATCTTGTGTCCGGGGTTTATTTCTTTTAGGTTCTTCAATATAGCCGCGTGTGACATTTGGTCAAACGCCTTGCTCATGTCGATTCCCGCGACTATTCTAAGTTTTACCGTACTCGGGTGATCGAGTATTTGTTGTTTGATCCTGATTATCATGTCTTGCGTGCTTACGTGTTTTCTAAATCCTATCATTGTCTCCGGTAGTGATTCTTGGCTTTCCATGAGCCATTCTAGCCTCGTTAAAACCATTTTTTCCATTACCTTTCCCACACAAGATGTTAAGGAAATCGGTCGATAGTTGTCGATGGAGTTTGGTTGTTTCCCTGGTTTGGGGATTGGTATAATGATTGCCTCCTTCCATTGGGTTGGTAAGTTACCTTCGTCCCATACTCTGTTAATTTCTTTAAGTAGAAACGTTATATATTCGTCTGGAAGATTTCGAGGCATTGCGTATGTTATGCCGTCCTCTCCCGGGGCAGTATTTCGTTTGAATTCACTGAGTGCGCTTCTTAACTCCCCTTCACAGAAGGGGCTGTTGATTCCTTCCGCGTCCTCAATATTATATTCTGTTTCTGTGCCAGGGAAAGTTATTCCGTTTTTGTTAGGGTAGAATTTGCACAGTAATTTTTCTGCTATTTCTTTAGGTCCTGTTTGGTAATGGAGGCATAGTTTATTTGTAGTGTGTTTTGTTTTAGGTTGCCCTAATAAAGTTCGAAGGATTTGCCATACTCTCGGGGTGTGTAGGAGGCCATTTAGTTGATCGCAAGTTTGGAGCCAATTTTCTTGTGCTAACTCATTTGCGTAATTGTATGCTTCCTCTGTGATTCTTTGGATGGCTTTCTTGAGACCTTTTCTGGATTTCTTCTTTTTCCAAATTTTAACAATCCTGTTGCGCTTGTCCCATAAGCTAAGAAGATGTGAGTCTACGTACGGCGCTTGTTCACTGTTTGCTATCCATTTGGTGTTCTTTTTGTAGCTGCTCTGTATCTTATCTAACCCCTGCGCCCACGTAAGGTCAGGATTATTTTCTACGGTTTCTTTAAGTTCTTTTCTCATTTCGTCCCACTTGGTGATTTTGCTTTTTGTATTTATATCTGTTTCTATGGTTTGAATTTTAATTGCTACGTGCTCTTGTTCTTCAGAATTGAGGTGATTAGTGTCTATTTGTATAGCCGTAATGGATTTATGAGTGTACGTTATTGTCGTTAATTGGACGGGAGCGGGGTTATCACGGTTCTTTTTTGGGAGGTTCCTTGTGATGCTTGGTTGGGAGTGAAGGTCGTAGCCCGGTATGTTGAAGACTCTGTTGCTTTCCTGTACCAGTATAATGTCTGGCTGTTCTTTTGATTGCTGTATGTATTGTTTTAATAAATTGACCTTTTTACGCAAGCCGCGGCTATTCCATTGCCAAATTAATATTTCGCCATTTGGGGAGTTTTGGTTCGGTTGTTTTATCTTATTCATGGTTCTTAGTTGTCTCAGTGCCCTGGTTGGTATCCTCTGTGATAACTACTTTGTATGGGCTACTTTCGACGTCAAGGATCGGTGTTTGGGGTCTTTTTCTCAAAGAATTAAGTACGGATTCTAATTTAATGAGCGAGCTTTCAAGCTGCCTGTGTCCGATTTCGAGGTTGACGAATTGTTCAGCAAAAAGGGTATCTCTTTTCTGGAGCTCTTGTTGCATACTCTGTATGATTGCGTCCCTTTTTTGGAATTCCTTTTGAAAGAGTTCGTTTCTCTGTTGTAGTTCCCTTTGAAGGGAGTCTAGTTTTTTAAGTATTTCCATTGTGGTTTCATTTTGTGTTGTGTTTGTTTCAGTCACGGGTTTGTCCAGGATGATAACTGCTTTCATTGCTCTAACGATGTTGATTTGTGACGGCGTTTCTTTAGCTGCGGATAGCACGACCGCATATTGTTTCTTCGGGTCCTCTGCGGGGGTTGACGAAAGCTGGATGTTGGATTCGTTTGCTGCTGGGGAAGGAGATGATTTACTCACCCTCCAGCTCCCTCTGTTGAAGTGGGGTGATGCCGTCGTCTTCTGTAGTGCCGGTGGGGTTTCCCTGAGGGGCTGCCGTGGCCTTTCGTTCTGGTCTTTCGCTTGTTTGTCGCGGTGGTCGCAGTTTTGTTCTTGTGGGTTTTTGCTCCTGCTTCTTGATCTTTCGGTGTCTCCGAGCATTGCGAAGCTGTTGCGAGTCGGAAGCCTGGGCCATTGGGTGCTTGAGTTGCTCCTGTCGTGGCTGTGCTGTGGTTTGCTCCGAGTGTCCTGTCTACTTCTTGTGTTTGTTACGTCTACTCGTGGAGCTATATTTGCTTGACGCCAGCTTCGGATTCGCATTCCTTCTCTGCGGTTTCTGTCTGCCTCTTGGCGTACTGGACATTGTGGGTAGTCTGCCGGGTGTTCTCCGCTGCAGTTTTGGCATTGGATTTCACAGTTGTGCTCTGACATCCCGTTGGGGTCAGGTGGAAGTTTAGTTCCGCATTGTAAGCATCTCTGGTAGTGTAGTTTGTTTGGGCAGACATCTGCTCGGTGACCTATGGTGGCGCAGTTGCTGCAGAGGAGGCTCCTTGGGGTGTAGGGATGGAGCCTCATGACTACTCTGCTGTAGAGAGCGAATCTAGGAAGGCGGGTTCCCTCGATGACGACAAGTACGGAGTGGGATGAGCCTATTCTCCGAGCTTCTAGGACCTTGGTTCCTTGGATCTCAAGTTCATGTTGAATTTCTTCGTCTGGAACGGACATTTGGATACCGTGTATAACACCCTTGACTGTGTTATTTCCACTGGTTTTATAGGCGAGAATGGGGTGTTGTTTGTTCAGGACTAGTATTTGGCGTAGATGGAGGAATTTCTCTGCTGCGGTCGTGCGGTACGTGTCTATCGCAATGAGGTTCGGAATGACTCTCACTTTTACGTAGGTGTCCTTTTTTTCGGCCGTGGTGAGTGCCGCCGCTTGTACAAGGCTTCGTCCTATAGCATCGGGTGGTAACTTACTTAGGTCTGTGCCGTCTGTGAGTTTGATTATCACAGTTATATGTTCTTCGAGTCGTTGGTTTGGCGCACCTACGACTTTCCAGTCTTGTCCTGTGGCGATTTCTTCCGTGTCCATGCTTGTTGGAGGTGTCGGGGCGGGAGTAGCCAACATGCCGCAGGGCGGTAGCCGATTCCTTGTTCTTACGCCGGGTGTTAGGCTTGTCTCCGTTCGGCCATGGGATATGAGTAAAGGTCCGGTGTCCTTTGACACCGGGCTTGGTGGTGCCTTTACTCACTTGTCGTGCCTGGTGTCCTTGTGCTAATTTTTTTTCGTATGGGCTCTGCTCTCGGCGAATATATATAGAGTCGATTCCGCGTGAGCCGTATTTGTGCACCGGAAACCGGTATAATCAAGTTAGTGGACGATTCGTAAATTCTGGTGGCCTGTATGAACCTGTGTAATTTGGAATAAAGACGTTCAGGTTTTCTTCATTAAAGGTATCTATTAAATCAACATAAACAAAGAAAAGTGGAACCTCGATTAGAAGACGTGCTTTTTGCCAGGCTTTGTTTCTTTTTCGCTTTGCCATTCTAGGCAAAGCGTATGTCCAATTTCTTAAATTTTAAAGGCCATTAGGTGATCGCAGATGTGAAGCACAACTGGAATATGACTGCACCATATATAAAAAAAATAAAAGCCGTGTACAACTCCCTGTAAAGACGGATTAACTGAGCGCAGCTCTTGAGGATTAGGCTCCAAGGGTACTGAGGTGACTCCCTGAGGTCATGTGACCTCTTGGGGGGGGGGGGGGTCACGTAACCTCACAGGGGGTTACGTGAGGGTAACCCTCGGGGCTCTCGTGACCCTCATTTCTCATAACCCTCGTGACCCTCGTGAGATTAACCCTTGTGACCCTCATGAGGGTAACACCCTTGAGGGTAACTAACCCTTGCAACCCTCATGAGGGTAACGCTCGTAACCCTCGTGAGGGTAACCCTCGTGATCCTCGCGACGGTAACCCTTGTAACAGTCACGAAGGTAACCCTCGTGACGTCATCATGGAAAACTACCCATAATGCAACCCGCGCGTTCCACGCAACCCGCGCGTTGGATGCAACCCGCGCGTTGCATGCAACTCGTAGCTAACCCGCTTGAATGCAACGTCTTGCTTGCAACCTTTGCATGTGTGTTGCATGCGCGTTGCATGCAACGCGCGAATTGCATGTAACGCTTGAATTGCATGCAATGGGCATGCAACGCGCAGGTTGCATACAACGCGCATTCAGCGCGCGGTTACGCCGCTTGCATGCAACGCGTTCCATGCAATTTTTCCAAGCGCGTCGCAAGAAAACTTTGCAAGCGCGTTGCATGCAATCTTTGCATGCGCGTTGCATCCAACGCGCGGTTACGCCGACGGCGACGGCGACGGCGACGTCGACGCCACTCAAGTCGGAAACGGGCACCTAAGAGCTGCGCTCTAAAATGTTCTAACGCAGTACTGTACAATTTCATCACATCAACAATTTGTGCTGTTCAAACCCATAAATCAAGAGCCAAAAAAGGAGGTTTCGAATATAAATTTTATATAACTTGGATATTTCACTTTCCGGGACCTTCAAAGTGTTTAATTGTTTTTAGATCAGGGTCTCTGGGTAAGGACAGTTAGTTATACTATAGTCGAAAGCAGGACCTTTGCAGTGCTCTTGAAATTTTTGTCGGCATTCTTCTGCAGGTTTAGAAAAGTGTTCTTTTGTAACCATCAGGTTACAGGCTGAAAAATGAAATGAGTTTGAAATAAAATATTGAACTGTTGTGCAAAATAAATTTTCCCTTTATGCCTGCTTGAATAATGCACCAAACAAACAAAAACGTTAAAGGGATTTTCAGTAGCCATAACCATGATTTGAAACAGAACGTCTGCAGAACGCCGCTGTATTTATAAAAAGACACCATTGTACATATTCAAACACATGTCGTTATTATGTTCTTACTCTTAAAACAAGAAATAAAAGTTGCTTATGAGTATTTCGATATACAATTGAAGATACAAGAAAGTATTTTAATACACTATCGCGATACATTTGTATAGCAGATATTGCCCAGCTCTGCTCTATGGCTACAGTCTAGTTCTATCATTTTTTCATAGCTGTGAAGCACTTGCATGCATTTCGCTGCTTTATTATGTTTTGTTTCGTGTAAATAAAACACTTCAATTTGTTTTGAGTGTGATAATTTGATTGAATTGTGAAGAATGTTGATAATATGCAAACCTATTAAAATAGACAATTACTCAATTAGTGACTGCACAGTGTATGCTTTTCATTCGTGCGCTCATGAACGACTGACCAATCGCTTCTATATCATAGATGTTCACAGCGTGTCTCTGAACGAGGCAAGTATTACTTTGGACGCAGTACTTTGTGACAAATGGTTTTTGTGCTTGCAAATTTTAGGGGAATGCGTCAGCCTCAAGTATTTTGTATGTACAGTGGTAACCAAACTTTACCGGTACACGCAAATTGTGTGTTATATTAAGGAGTACCTTTCCTGTCGGCGGCTCAATAACCGCTTGACGTAACGTTCACAGAAGAGCAAAGTTGGGGAGGCCACTTTATGGAATATAAACGCGACAATAGTTTTACCGGCCAGCCAATCAGTACTTATTATCACCTTTCGCATTAAGGTGCACAGATGACGTTGCAAAGTCTATGTTTATATGTCTTATTCAGTAAACATTTGATGTTTTGAAGATATGACCTAAGATCGCATTGTCTGCCGACAACTTGTTTTCTCCTGTCCCGCTGCGATTTCGGTCTTGAGCTAGTGGCCACCCCTGCTTGGAGAGCTTTTCCCAGTGAGCGCTATATCAAGCAGTAGTTCTTCGAATGCCGCCAGAACAGAGCTTCCATGAGTTAAGGAAGTGATAAGACAAAGTCCTGGATAAGCATGATGAGCACGGTTCTATTGTTTGAATCCAAGATTCCAGTGTTATCAACCACCCATGCGCCCAAACCTTATGATTGGGTGCAGTTTACGCTACGAGCCAATTAGGCCAATTAAGAAAAACGTAAAAAGCGCATCGTCAAGATGTTTTTTTTTTTAAATATTTATGTGTTTGTTAAATCATCGCTTAACTATATCTTAAACATTGCTTCGAGTGTGTGTGTTTGGGGCTCTATGTGTTTATGCATTGCAAAAATATTGAAAATGGCATATAGGCTTAACGTTTAGACCTTATCAACCAACTTGAAGCATTTAATATAAGGCCGTTGAGTACTTTATTTAAATATATAGCTATAAAAGCAAATAAATTCTCCAGAACAGAGTACAAACATCCTGTACAGAAAATGCTTCTTAGAAATATAGGCAGATATTATTCGCTAAGAATAAACACGCATTACAAAAAAATGATCAAAAGTTTTTATGTCCCTGATATTTTTAGTAATATACAAGAATAACTAATTAGTTTACACTCTTTAAAATAAGTTAAAAACCTGTTGTTTGCCAAAATCAGATATAAACATTTTCATATGCATTGATGTTCTCTTTTACAAATCAGTCACCTTATCTGTGTAGTCTCAATCTGTCGTGTTCCGAGGCAAATTGGTTTGTTCTACACGCTTACAAATTAAAGTTGTTTTATTGTTTGGTTCTGACAAAACGATAACATTTCCGTATTTTCGGTGCGCGTGATATTTTGAATGACAACTACCTTGTTCTGATAACGAGAAAAACATAGGTACTTATCTTTCGCTTTCTTTTTTTTTTCTTGCGTAATTTGTATGTACAGAACCAAAGTGAGTGAACTTGTCATTGATATACTCTTGTTGTTTTATTTGTTTTTCAGCGCAAATGGCAGCGTTGTGTAAGTAACTATTCACGGCTACCGAGCCACGTCGTACAATTTCTCTAGGCTTTGAAGTACGCGATTTTCTGTATTGAAAAAAGGAACACTAAAAATAATATAATTATTATTTGAATTATTATTATTATTATTATTATTATTATTATTTGACCGCGCTCACACTTATGATGAAATTAGGTAGAGATGCTTTGAAACGTAATTTTTATATATTTATAAGAAGTAACGAGTAACTAAAAAAAACCTTATAGCAGCTGTCTTGTAATTAAATTACAACGCACAATTTAATAGAGGTATTAATTGAAGCAAAAAAAAAATAATAGGAAGATCAAGAAGGAATAAAAGTAAACCGTTATTGTAGTCGATTATCTTTAAGTATGACACGATAAACATTGACTTTAATAAAAGGCTTTGATAACTCCATTACATGACCATTTACCAAGTTCGTGAGCGTGCTCAAGCGCTTTGCGTCCTAAAGAGAGAGCGTTGACAGCACTGCGTACCGAACACAGACTACCTGTTGAGCTTTAGATGCGCCTGCCGCTTTTCAGGAAAAACAAATCGTGGCGAAAAAATCTCCCAGGGTGTGCGAAATCGGAAGACGAGACGAGGAAGATCACATTTGGAACTATGGAGGGCGCTGTTTCTGACCGTCAATATGCAAAAACCACCCGCCCATGTCTTCACCCTTCTACGTAACCCTAAGCTCGCAATGACTTCAGAGGAATAACCTCAACCAAGTTACTGCTTAGGCTAAAACTGATATCCGTGAATTTACACTACTGCCCTTTTCTGGTGAACGGGGAGGCAGGGAAAAAAAGCATAAGTATACAGCTGTTAAATGCAGGGAAACTCTGTGTGTGGCATTTATTTTGCATGCGGTTTTCGGTACATCGGACAGATTGGCGACGGCGTTGACGATAGATTTTCAGTACATAAGAGGGCGGTTTTGTGGAAGTTCCTAATTCAGAGGCTATAACACATGTAGAGGCGTGGAACAGTTGTTTTCCTGAACGGAACTGCATGAGGAATGTAAGTTAGTGTAAGGCCGAGATAACTTGCTGGGTACCGGGCCTGCTTCTTGTTTTATGTCTTTGAGGGAAAGAGCTTATATTGTGTTGCTTTAAAAGGGCCCTGCAATGACTTTTTTTACTAATTTTTCATTTGCCCCGAACCTAAGCGCACTGAACGTAGCAACTTAGTGAAACTTTTCTTTTCTCGGAATTCCCTTTATTTTAAAAGTTATAGGCAAATTAAAATTACAAAAACAAGCAAAAAATAACCTCCCTCATGACGTCCTTGGTTGCTTGAGAGTGGCCGTGAACTAGAGGAGAAGTAGTGAGCTCATCGAGCGCTTACGGCTGCCGCACTCCAAGTCGACGGCTCGAGAGGGCGCCA